TGAATCTTACGAATCTTATCCCCATCTCCTTTCACCAGACCCATCTAGACAGGATGATAGCTATTCAGTGGGGACTCTTTCTTTCCCCCCACACTCTTAACTAAGCTCCCTCTTTGAACTGATTCTTTTAATTTAAATCATAGGCTAATATGAAAGAGAAAGGAAAGGAAAGAAGAAGATTTAAGGAAAAGAAGAGAGAGGAAAAGATTGGTAACTAACATTTTTGAGGCAGCAACTCACAGCAACACCACCTTGTTCATTTACATGTAGTACATCTTTGAACTCTGTTACAGCTATGCCGTTGTTAAGTGCTATCAAATTGGTTCCAAGCCATAGTGGCCCTGTATAGGGTTTCTGAGAAGCAACTGGGGGTTTGAACTGCTGACCTTGAAGCTGATGGTATGAAAACAGGGAAAAGGGAAGGCCAATCTGGTGGTGAAAACAGCTAAACAAAAGGTGCATGAAAGGAAAAGTACAAAGCAAGCACTAAGTAGTGAGTGGTTTAATTTGTTGGGAATAAAAGACTGAGTTAAGAGTTGTGCTTTTTTTTCTCATGTACAGGGTTCAAAAGAAAATCGGCTTAAATCGTTTTTCCATCAAACCATAAAAATCAGAATAAAGTCTTTTACTAAAACATTTATAAAATAAGTGTTTAAAACAGGAAGCACAACATATTCTGCTTTTATTATATACTGGCTTTATTACTTGGCAGCTTAATTCCTGAAGGTATTCGTTCATGTAAAATACAAAAAGATTGGGGGTTATACTTTTTTTAACATATTTGATATTTGCTCTTGAGAGACTTATCAAAAACATTTTAAAACATGTCATTGGCTATACTAACATCATTAAAAACAAACCAACAAACACAAGTGGCAAATAGCCGTGCAATTTCATTTAATTGCACTTTGTAACACAAATTCTGTCCTATTTTTCTCCTCATTGAGAATAGCTTGCCAGGGCCTAATGATTTATTTAAATGGAGGCACTGTTATAGACCTAGAGTATTAGGGCCCTTTCTTAACTTTTACGTTTCATGTGATAAACAAGAGACAGTACATCAAGTCTCCCAGGGGACACAAAATCTCCCCCTTTTAATTGCAGGTTCCATTTAAATCCTGAACACTTCCTAGCCATTCTTTATGTGTACCAGATAAATTGGTTTCACCCATATCAACTGTTTACCTCATTAAAACATTGTGGGGATAACATACAAAAAGGAGGACTCATTAGCCTTAGTTTGTTGTGTTTGTACCATTTCTCCAGGGGATCACTTACTTTCATTGCAAAGAAGGCCACCCCAGCCAGTTGGGCAGGTGCACCCGCTCCTCCCTTCCCGGCATGTGCCTCCATTCACGCAGTCCGCACAGCTCAAACTGCAATCATGTCCAAAGGTGCCATCTAAACAGACTAGAATGTGAGGCCATGTTAGTTGGTTCTAACAGCTTGTTGTTTTAAGTGCTATACTAACATCGGTCCTGACTCTTATAAGGTTTCTGAGGAGCAGCTGGTGAGTTTGAACCACTGAACAACCTTGTGGCCCAATACTGATCCTACTGCACCACACCAGGGCTCCTCTAACAGCTTACCATAACAAAAAAAAAGGAAACAAAATCCTTAACTTTTCAAAGAAAATTATGATCTTGGAGCACATTTCTTAAAGCAGCAGAAAAGGACAACATCAAGGAGCTATAAATATATTTTTAAGTAGAGCTTATTTTATGTATTTTTTTCAATTGTGAAAATAACACATAGTCCCTAAAGAATACTTAGACTATTTAGGAAAGTAAAAAGATGAAAAGAAATTATCATTGAGTCCAGAATACAAAGATAATCAATTTTCATGGCATTCTGACACTTTTTGTTCAAGTCTTTTTTCATGCATAGATCATTTTTTCAAATAAACTTTTCAGTTGAAATTTAGTATGTATGTGGAAAAGTGTGCAAATCTCAAGTCTATACTTCAAAGACTTTTTTTTCACAATATAAATATTATCATGCAAATACCACCCAGATCATACTAGATGATGTGATAGAACATACTAGCCCACCAAAACCTTGAGTTAATTTGATGCTTCTATCATTAGTTTCACAGATTAAATGCTATCCTGATTGAGAAAGTGGAAAGAGTGCTGTTACATTGTGGGGATTGCAATGTCTTGAAACAAAATACAGATAAGTTGTTGAATGGAAAATGAATTTTCTGTAA